TACAATATCAGAAACATGTATCATCAGGTTACTGGTTTAAAGCTGTGTCCACTGATCCCAGATTCAACAAATGTTCTCTCATTCCTAGGGGAGCCAATGTTATTCAGGACGTAATGAAGGAAAAACAACAGGACATTGCTGAGTGCGGCGTTAAACAACAAACAAACAAACAAACTTATGAATTTGTCTTCTCAGGAAGATAAAGACTTTCAAATGGCTACCATGTGCGACATTTGTCAGAAAGAGTTAGGTACCGACCCTGTTCGAGACCGTGATCATCTCACTGTTACCTTTCGAGGGGCCGCACATCAAAATTGTAATTAATAATTTCAGTTCCGAAAATCAAAAGGCAAAAGAACAAATATAGTGAGCGACAAGAGTACTTCATTGCTGTCATTTTCCATAACCTCAAAGGCTATGATTCACTCCATCTGATAAAACATTGGGATTGCAATGAAAAGAGACAGACTGATTGTCATGCTGGCAACATGGAGAAAAACTATGAAGTGAAAAAAACGGTTCCAAATATTTTGAATAAATCAAAGTATGAGTTGCAATGCAGAAATTTACAATTCCACTCGAAACGGTATGACGCTGATTAAATCCATAGGGCCATTCAATTTAAACAGTTTTCCTGATTGAAACCTTTCATTGATTTCAATACAGAAATGAGAAAGTAAGTAAAAATAATGAAGCAGATTAAGTGCATTTCAAACTCTTTAATAACTCATGTCTTGGACGTCCAATAATGAATGTGAGAAAACATGTAAATGTAGAATTGATCTATTCATGTAAACTGTTCAGAAACCTATGTGCCAAACCCACTTCATTACAAATCTTTAATTCTGAACTGGCCACTGGCCACTGGCCACACTCTATACCTTTACCAACCTGTTTATGCAGGGTTTGCTATTCTAGATCTATCAAAAGAATTTATGTGTCAACATCTTGATTATGAGGAACACAACGTTTCGGAGTATATCTAATTTAGGTAGTTTGCTCAGAGGTTCCCCCCTCTGTTTACGGGACATCATGTTCTCACATGATGCTGTAGATCATGACTATTCTCAAACATAAGAACACACTCGTCACAAGTACAGTACTCCAATCTGTCTAGCAGGGAGATGAGCTCCATGTAGACGATTTCCAATCGCCTGACCCGTAACTCGTACTCCAGTAGCCAGATCAAAGCAATTGCAGCAATTCTATTTAGTAGAACCTAGTTTCGTATTAATCGGTCCTGTACTCTTGTCCTCTTCTTTGAGAGGCATTTAGAAGTAAGGATAAGATATATGGATGAACAACTTCTTTATTACAATTAGGAACGACGTTTCGGTGTAGGTTCTAACACTGTTATCAAGCAAATGATGTACAGAGTATGGTTGATATGTATACCGGATAGGAGGCAGTGTTTATACAGTTGAGTAGGTTTAAGATGCAGTTACACTGCTGGAGTGGAGAAGCATGTTATGTACACAGAAGGGTAAAACATGTTGGCCGGTGAAGCCTGTAATATAAGCAAAAGGGTGAACCAGTAATATAACAACAAAAGGACTATGACTGATTGGGGTCTTCGATGAATTGGTGGTACGCCGGTGGTATGTAATAGCCTTGGTCACGGTTGATTGATGGTTGGACTCTTTGCATGTTGAAGACTTCTTGCAGTTGTCTGATCTTGAAGTCTTTGAGGTTGGTAGTGAGGGCTTTGACTTTGTCCACTAGATGCTGTGGCTTGGGTTGTCCCGGATATGGTCTGATAGAGCTGATTTAGAGTCATCTTTGGAGACTGACTTTGATGTTCTTTAATTCGGGTTTTAGGGGCCAAGATGTTTCGCCAATATAAGCTTCTCCACAATTGCACGGAATGTGATAAACTGCTTCTGATGGTTCTAGCTTGTGGCTGGATGGTGGTTTTCCCGTAGCTTTAGTTGTGTTCTGAATGCTGTGACTTCTTTTGAAAACTACATTTATGTTGGCCTGTTTCTTTAAGAGTCTCTGGAGTTTGTGGCTAACTGTTCCAAAGTAGGGAGCCTGATCACAAAGGGTGAAGGTCGTTGACGGGCAGATTTCTGAGATTTCTTGGTGATGTTCTGTATCGTCTGTTGTTCCAGCTGCTCAGGGTAGAGGTTATACTGTGTGAACACTTGTTTGAGGTGGCTAAGTGTAGTGGTAAGATGTTGCTTCATAGAACAGATGTTTTAAGCTCGTCTTGTAAGGGTTGAGATGATTCCTCTCTTGACTTGAGGTGGATGGTTGAGGCATAGTGAAGATATTAATCTGTGTGGGTTGGTTTCCGGTAAACAGTGGTCTGGAGTTTGTTGTTGTGGTCTTTCTATACAAGCACATCAAGGAAGGGTTGTTGACGATTGGCTTCTTCCTCCATGGTGAACTGCATTCGTGGGTTTTGGGTCATTGTTGGGATGTAGAATGACAAAGGTGTCATCTACTTTGCGGAACCAGCAGATGGGGTTATGTGAGATGTTCTAGGTGGGTCATAAACATCTTGGTGATGCAGGGTGATAGTGGGGACCCCATTGTGAGGCCGTGGGTATGCTGATAGATGGTATCTTTTCGGATGATGCTGTCAGTTGGGATCGGTAGATTTCATCGATGCTGGTTCTGATGATATCATTGGCCTCGTCCCGGGGTACATTAGTGAACAGATCGACAACGTCATAGCTGATAAAGGTGCCTGTTGGGGGATGTCGTGGATCTTCTTGTAGAATTCAGACGAATCTGCCACAAAGGACTTGGCAGTCTTCCCAAGAGGTGCGAGGAGGCGGGCTAGGTACTGAGCCATATTGTAGTGGACAGTGTCTCTGGAGCAGACTGGGAGGCTTTGACGGGGTCTATATGAATTTAAGGTGGCTTGGGGTGAGGGGTGATGAGATGACTTGGGACGCCCTGAACAGGGTCGATCGTCAACATTTTGGCTTTGTTGGTGCCTGTCCCATTGTCTGCTTATCACAGCCTGTGAAACATGGAACGTATTGGCCACTGCACGCTGACTTCTGCCAGTTTCCAGCCTCATCCCGTAATAGCAATAGCCCATTTCCAGCAACAGCCCATGCCAGTAGCCCGTAAACGATCCGCACCGCTGCTTCGTACACAAACAATGAATAAAAGCAAGAAAATCACAACCGTTTGATAAGCAGGATCAATAAGATTGACAGAAATAATGGTCCCAAGAGATTAATCGACCTTCCTTGAAAGTGTCAAAATCAGGAATAACCTCCTACGCACGTGTGGCGCTACTGTGTACGGCACGTGCAAACTATTGAATGTGTTTTGGTGTTGTGCTTTCTTGAATAAAAGCAAGAAAATCACAACCGTTTGATAAGCAGGATCAATAAGATTGACAGAAATAATGGTGCACAGAGATTAATCGACCTTTCTTGAAAGAGTCAAAATGAGGAATGACAGCCTACATTCATGTTGCGCCACTGTGTACGGCACGTGCAAACTATTGAATGTGTTTTGGTGTTTTGTTTTACAGACATAAACGCTCTTGCATAGGATGTTTGTTGCAAACACTTATCTTTGGTTTAATATAACATCACGATCCCCTACTTTTTGCTGGAGTATATTTTGGGCCATATTTGACAAAGATCGTTATCGCCAACAATACATACGTCTGCTGTAATTATATGCAGTCTCATTAGAGCAGCAACAAATTGTGGACTGTATATCATGAGCCGCCAAGTCCACATTCTGCAACACGTTGCTATAACTGAACAACTTAAGAAGTTCGTATGGGTAAATGAAACTGTAAGTGGTTCCTGAAACTGTAAGTGGTTCCTGAAATTTGAAATATTGTGGAATTAATGCAAGTTTTTTGTAAGTTAAGTATCAATTCCCTTGTTTGCAGGAATCAAATTCAGAACCATTCGGTCTTTTTTCTAACTCAATGAGTCTGTTTTGGCCAAACGTTTTAGTTTTGCTGTGTGTCCTTCCTGGTGAGGCAATGTTGTAATGTAAGGGAGAATCCATTTGACTTTCAATTCTATTTTTTCCCCAGCTATATCCGACAAACTATTTCTTTACTGAGTACCATCAAACAACTTATTCATATTCACTATTAACACAAAATTATGACGCTTGGCTATTACCTAGTTAATAATTTGGTTATTTTTTAAAAAAGAATAGAAATCTTTTTTTACACTGCCTACAAACTATTCATTTTGGGCATGTTCTTTAACAAACTATACATTTTGTTATTGTACCACATAGGTGTGGGGCGTTGATCGTGCTATTTAACACTGGTATGGCAAGTCCATCTGTTATTATCCACAGGCCACCCTATATTTGCCAGGTGAAAATCCCCAAGACTTGAATATATGACACTTTTTGGTAACAACTTCATTTATTCTTTGTCACGACGTATCGGAGCTACCCCTTGCTCCTTTATCAGATAACTTGGTTAATGAATGCCATCGTATCCCAACTGCGTATATCGATGTTCATGTGTCAATCACTGGAATGTCTGGTCCAGACTCGAATATTAACAGATTGCCACAATATAGATGGAATGTTGCTGAATGCGGTGTTAAACACAATGTAAACACATAATGTATTTGGCAGAAATCATAAGTTGACATGTTACTGCTGTTCCAACAACAGACGACCGCCTCCGTGTTATAGTGGTAGAGCGTCCGCCCGGAGAGCGGAAGGTCCGGGGTGCGATCCCGGCCGCGTCATACCAAAAGACGTAAAAAGATGGTACTTGTTGTTGCCCTGTCTGGCGCTCGGCATTAAGGGGTAATAGCAAGGACTGGTCAGCTCGGAGTCAGTATACTGTGTCTGAGTGAGGTATTCATGTTAAACTGCGGCATGGTATCTCAGTGGGATGGCACTATGAATCGACATCGGTCCGTTCTAATACAAGCAACCACACACACACACACACACACACACGTACATGCACGTCGCTATATAAGTGCAATAATCTTGGACGCGACGTTAAACCCAATTTCACCTCACCTCCAACAACAGACAAGGACTTGATACCACATATTTATTATTGACCAGTGTACATGTATCGGTGTGAATTTGCAGTGGCTTATTACTTTATGCTAATTTTTACACAGCGAAAATTTGATTTCATAAATGAAGACGAGCCTGTTGAAGCGCCAATAGATCGGAATTTGCAATTATATCATTAGTCTTTCATTCTATGTCAGAATAAAATAATAATTAAGATGAGTTAATATGTCACTGCTGTTCCAACAACGGACAACAAGGGTCAGACGTGAGACGACGCATTTTGCTTTAATTAGTGCGTATGATCGTCCCTCCATAACTCGAGAATCCATCTCCCCTGAGTGGAACAACACCTGTTCCTTTGATGCTCATCCAGACCTGGTCTCCTCCATGGAGGTGTGTAGCTGTGGTGATGGATGCTACGCCATATTGAGAGCCCAAACGAGTGTGGCCAAGACCAATCAGCTTCTTATCTTTGTGGATCCTGACGTCCATATTAGGTTTTCCATTCGACATAACATATGCCCAAAAGAGATATGTGCCCGACACGGGCGCTGTGAAAATACCAGTCGCCATGTTGTAGGCATCGCCTTGGTTGTACAAGATGTGGTCAAATTTCAGATGCGTTTCCTGGGGCTGGTTTGTATCGGAACTCAGAGACACCTCGTATGCTACATCAGTTGCCTGTGTTGCTGAAATATAGAAAATATCAGAACCTCAATTTTAGACAAGAATTTCTGTTGGAATTGCGCTGTTATCCCTTAATGAATCAAATTCCCCACAAGAAAAAAATTCAGAATTGACATTCGACCAGACAGAACATTCGAATTCATCTGGTAGACAAGGAGACAAATTCCTTTCCCGCTAAATGCTCTATTAAGGCACTATTCAGTCAACACATTTTATACTGTGTTTAAATGTGATATTGTATTATTCTTTTTTAAATACATATGTATGCATCTGGTATTACTTTAATTCAACAATACAGTTCATTGTGGATTGTAGATGTGCTGAATTGATCGAATATTTAAGTTACTGGTTAAAGATATTTGAAATGATCTTTGGAACGATAGGTTTACAGGTACGAAAGCACTATGGTATTTGTTTCGCATATTTTGTGATAATCTTCACACTGTTTCATTAATATTATACAACATACTTTTGAAAGAAATACGCTACCTGACTAATCAAATATGTTTCGGACTTTTGACAAAAAGAAAGAAATTGCCTGCACAAAAATTACATTGATGCAAGGTGTTTTTGTTTCACAGAAAGTCAGGCTAATGTTCTAAATAATAAAATATCTGGTGTTGTAGATGTAGCTGATAAAAAGTTGTGCAGGATCCAACATAAACAATAAAGAAAGCCCTGTGGGGACTCTGGGTTAAAATGTGTCACCATCCTATATCTGTAGTTACGGGTCACTAAATGGATCGGGGGGTCAGGAACTGGACTTGCATGTCATCGTACTCCGACAGCGTTTATCGCTCATGATGTGAGTCACTAGATTGTCTGGTCCAGACTTTATTTACACGCCGCCTTCATATACATGCCGTTTGAATACTGAGGGCATCGTTAAACAACAAACCTTATTAACATGAAATAATTTCAAAAAATAAAAATGTACAAAAATAATACTGACTTTGTCCATGACAAGAGTTCTGACAAAAGTGGTAAAAGTATGCATCAGACTTGGTACCACAGTTGGGGACACCAACTAAAATCATATCTTACTTCACACTCTTTACTTTACACACATGAACAGCTCGTTTATGTATTAAACGTATTAATACAGCCCTCTTGTCATGCAGACAAGCGTTTTTGTACTCACCAAGAGAACGGGTAATATTCTTGAAGAAAGCATCCTTATCACTTAGCTCTGACTTCATCGATGACAGTCTTTCTTCGCTTTGTCGCAGCTGTGACTCCACCGACTCCACCTTCGTGGACAAAGCATGCAGCGCACGTTCCAGTCGGAGCACATTAGTGGTTTCACTGTCCATGTAACAGTTCTGTATGTGGTTCACTACAGGCGTGGCGGTGGTGGTGGGTGTGAGTGTACTGGTGGGGGCGACGGCAGCGACAGTCACCACACTCAACACCAGCACGCAGAGACAGCGCATCATGGTCATTGTGCTGAGAAATGTAGTTGGGGAGTCCTTGGTGGTGTATATGTCTTTGTGCCTGGTGTGACGCATTGCAACAACATTGGCTATCCCAGTACCAGTCACGAGCACATCCATCAAGTGCCCCAATATAATAGCTTGCGTCGTACATCACTCTCTCGACCCGCATCCTTGACCTCTCACATACAATCCTAAATGTAAATGATGTTAAACATAACGCGAAGAAGATACTTGACTGACTGACTGACTGAGTTGGGTTTAACGCCGCTTTTAACAGTATTCCAGTTATATCACGTCGTGTCAGCTTAATGTGGGAGGAAAGCCCGAAGTCATGCAGGTCTAAGACGTTTACAGATTCGGTGAAACCCACGAGCACGGGTATGGTGCTGACAAACCTAGAAACATAATCGGGGCGAACCGGGATTCGAACCCACAATCATAGGTTTCTGGCGTGCAAAAGGGACGCAACTCTGCACAGCAAATCGCGGCGCCTTAGACGACTGGGCCACCCGTGCCCCCAGAAGATACTTGAAGATCAATTAATACAAAATAGAAAATCTCAAAAATTGTTTTACTCAGAATCTTAAAGCAGAATTGACTCTAGAACACTTTCTCCCGCGGTCCATTAAAAAACTGCCCTCAGTGAAGGTTAACATAATATACTCAACAACAAAAGTTCCCGTGACACCAATATTTTAGTGCATTTTTCAAACAAGAAAAATTTGGTTTTCAATATTGTAGTACATGTATGGAATCAAGTCACAAAAACGCAACTGCTACGGAAAAGCATGCATTCCATGCAAAAGTTGACTTTTATGCAAGCCCCATGCATTTCACTACCCAAGAATGGGTATAAAAACATGTTCGTTAACGGGATTCCATATGCATTGTTTAGCATCGTGCTGACAACAACCACTCAGAAAAACAACAAAATTACGCAATTATTCAACATTACGAAATGCCACGCCTGTCCGAAAATGAGCGTCTGCGAGCCATTGGTATGCTTGAAGCAGGATTGAGTCAACGTGACGTTGCAAGACAATTTAACGTCCACAGAAACACCATTTGGTGTTTATGGCAACGTTGGCAACAGACGAATGCAGTCAGAGACCATCCTCGGAGTTGGCAGGCCACGCGTAACCAATAATCGACAAGACAACTGGATTCGAACAACACGCCTACGAAATCGACTCCAGCCAGCAACAATGACTGCAAGAAGCATCCCTGGCCTTCGACGAATATCTTCACAAACCGTACGTCGTCGACTCAGATGTGCAGGGATTGTCGCCAGAAGACCCGCCAGACGTCCCATTTTGACAGGAAACCACCGCCAAGCACTTCTACGTTGGTGCACAGGAGCGTCTACGCTGGACGGCCATGCAGTGGGGACAAGTTCTATTCACTGACGAGTCTCGTTTTCACCTCAGCCACAGCGATTGACGGATTCGAGTGTACCGACGTCGAGGTGAACGTTACGTCAATCATTGTGTCATGGAAGAAGATCGGCAACGTCATTGTATGGGGTGGGATTACAGCAAGACAGAGGACTCGTTTGATAGTGATAGAGAGAAATCTCAATGGACAGCACTACCGCGACGAGATCATCGGCGTTTTTGCGTCGTCATGGCCCAGGCATTACCTTTAAACATGACAACGCCCGGCCTCATATTGCTCTACTTGTTCAGGATTCTCTTCAACAAAACAACGTGAATGTCATCCCCTGGTCGGCTCGCTCCTCTGATCTCTCACCAATCGAGCACATGTGGGATGAGATGGATCGGCGCCTTCGACGTCAACCACGTGTTCCACAGACAGTCCAGGAACTTCGAAACATGCTCCAGCAGATATGGACAGATATCCCCCAGGACTTTGTGCGACGCCTAGTCCATTCCATGAGACGAGGATGCGTTGCTTGCATCGCAGCGGGAGGTGGACACACACGCCGTTGATTTGTAAATTGACATTTTGGCATGTTCATGTTTTTTTTATGAAATCACGCATTTTCTGAAGTCAGTATGGCAAATTAAACCATTTGAACGCTTACATGCGTCTTTTATCTGTTGCAAACCGAAATTGTTTCAGATTTTGTAAAAAACATAACTTTGCATTAAATCTTATTCAATGTTACGCGAACTTTTGTTGTTCAGTATACATTCCTTCCCAAGCCTACCCCACACACACACTCACACACAATATTCCTAAGAGCGAGGGGCTCTCCTGCCTCTTGGCAGCTAGTTAATTAAGTACCTGGTATCCTCCCACTTGTTAAAACATTTCCAGATAAATGCACCGCAAGGTTTGTTTGTTTGTTGTCTAACGCCTCACTCAGTAATATTCCAGCTATATGACGGCGGTCTGTAAATAATCGAGTCTGGACCAGACATTCGCGTGATTGACGTTGTTAGTGCCCTTGGTTCCTCTGTCTCGTTGTTCCAAGGGAAGATTTTTATTTTCGCATATTGATATGATTTCATTTTTTTCTTAGGCTGCTCTTTAAAACAGAAGGGAGAGATGCCAAGCTCGGCCCTGCATGACCAGTTTTGTTTGTTGAGAAATTACCAGAACGCGTTTGCAAAATTTTGGTTGTAATGTTTCAGTAAATGTATCTTTATGCCAGTGCAGAACTGAGTTCGGCCAATCGACTCTGATTTTGGCAGAGATTTCTTATGAATGTGTAAAAGGATTTTGTCGCTTTTATTTACAATAGATTCCAAACCATGTTTAAATGTAGAATTTGATGAAATACAACACCTTAGTTTTGCGTGTTTAACGCCGCACTCAGCAAGATTCCAGCGGTCTCTAAATAATCGAGTCTGGACCAGACAATCCAGTGTTTGACATCATGAGCATCGATCCACGCAGTTGGGATACGATGACATGCATCAATTAGAACAGCGAGCCTGGCCCGTTAGTCGAATCGGATAAAAGAAGCCAATCATCAGCAAACAGTAAATGACATATTTTGAAGCCATCTAGAGTTTGGCTATTTATATCTTTATCAAAATAAGATTCAAGATCATTAATCTGTCCAAACTCATCACAGGTACAGCCATTGAAACATTGCTTGAAAAAAACGTTATTATGCAGTTTTGAATTTTGATTCCGACAGGAAAAATACTCGAAAACTATTATTTTTGCCCATTCTCAACTTGAAGAGTTTCGTTTATAGTGTTTGAATAGAGAAGGATCTCTTATCCAGTGAGGTGTATGTCCAATAGTTGTTCGAGCACCTTGAAAGATGACTAATAGAAACCATTGAATGATCATGACGTCAAATCATTGCCATGCAATGCAGAAGCTTGGATGTGTTATAAGATCTTTCTACAAATGTCCAAACGTTGGTAGTTATTAAAACAAAACAAACTCAAACAAAAATACACTTGATATTCCTTGAGAGCAACTTTATCGACACCTTTTCTGACAGTCATGATCTCATTTTTTCTGCTTTTCAAATGTTTTTGGTGTGGTTTTTTTAGTTGAATTTTGATGTTTCATCTCGTATGGTATCGAAACAATCCCATACTTCCTATTTTTGCTGATTTATTTCAAATATATCTGCAAATTAAGAAAACAAAACAATAGAATTAAGTTACTTTAAAAAACTACCCTGACATACAATAGACGGCAGTCATATTATAGATAAGTTGTTTAAGATGGTTTGTAATGTATTCATAAATACAGTTCTGATATACATATTCGCTACTGACTTTATCAGATACATATAGCTTTCATTGGCAATAAAGAAAAAAAGGAATATTATGTTCGTGTCGCCAAATTGAAAAATCCCAGCTTATTCACAAAGGGGAACAAACGGTACTTCACTAGGCTCCCGAAATAATAGTGGCCTAAAGGTGAGGTGAAATGGTGTTAAACGACGCGTCCAAGATTATTGCACTTACATAGCGACGTACACGCGCGCGCGCGTTGCTGCTTGTACTACTCTGCAAGCCCACTGAGATACCATTCCGCAGTTTAACCCTCTTGGTGCCACGGACCATATATGGTCCCTCACTTTTCACACCCGCATAGTGCCAGGGGACCATATATGGTCTCGAGAAAATGCCCTATTTAAACTGTGAATTTTGATATTTAACACTATCACGTATGTCCTTAAATGTACATGTACATACCTAGCTAGGTGTAAATACACTTCTAAAGTCGCATTTATAAATCAAATGAATAAATAAAAGAAAAAGTGGTATTTCATGGACTGGCCATACAAGTATATTTTGAGCAAAGGTCTAAGTTAGGCAGCCAAGTGCGAAATACGAGCTGATACGAGGATGTATGTTTTCTGGTGGTCATAGTGAAACAATGACATATGGCGCCCGAGTTGCGAGTGATCGAAAATAGGTTTCTTGATTAGATTTGCTGCCCATGAAAACGTTTCAACAATTTTGATTGAATCTACATGTACTTACTCTTGGGTGGTATTACGTTAGTATAATCTTGTAAATTATTAAGAAATAATAATGATGCCTGATATTGAGCGATGTCAATTTGAGTATTGTTAGGGCTGTTTAGCGATCTTTCACATTTTGTCCTTTGAAAATGTACGATGTCAATTACCCCGAAGTTGTTTTTATAACTATTAAAAGAGCACGGTCATTGAAACATACATGGACGTAACCGGGATTTCTTCAAGATATACATTCCAAACTGTCATTCGTTTTGTGACATAATATTTGAAACAGTCTGCGTATGAATTAATCACGACCACTTCCGTCAATTTTGTTTTGACGTCAAAAACACGCACAATTTCATCGGGATTTTTTATCGGTAAATGTAACTCACGGAAAATTCTCAGTGAATGTGTACTTCAACATAAATATCATATGTCTATCACTGTTAGGACATGTACTTGCCAATGATATGAATTATTGGTCATTTAGATTTCAAACAAGGGCGCTTACTTGACTTTACTTGCCATATTCGGGTGCGTCCATATTACGATTAATGTGGAAAAGTAGGAAACTTATAATACCAGCACTTTTATCGATGGCTGGGCAGTGCATAGATCTTTTGGATTTGGTGACTTTATAGGATACTGTTGGAAAGACAATCAACTCGAGTTGCATGTTATACAATTTGGTTACACTGTGTGGAGAAATAAAGACGTTGCAACACTTTTGATACAATGTATACGTTTTTG